GCGCCGGGCGCTGGAGCCGGGTGTTCCGGCCGCGATCGGTGCAGCTCGGCCGGGAGACGGCGCGACCCGGCGGCGGGGCCCCCCGCGAGTCCAGCGCCGCCGCAGCCCCCCAATGCGGCCGCGAGAAGCAGCGGGGGGGCAGGCGATCGAAGGTAACTGGAGCGAGGCTCGCCGGCTCCTCGCGCGGGGCTAGCTTTGTCACCCCGACCCTCCGCTCCGCCTGCCCGCGTCTGGGGGGCAGCCTCGGCTTTTGGTTTTGAGGGGTCCGCCCCCATAGGGCCATCCAGTTTCAGACTGATTTATAGCCTGCAGCCCCGAATGGGAAGGAGGCAGGGATGGCAAGTTGCTTATTTTCATTAGTTTTGTCTCAAAAGTAAGTTCATTAAAAAAAAAAAAAAAAAGTTTTTCTGGAATTTGTAGACAGGGGGTTTAAATTTTTTTTAATTGCAGACAATGGATGTTTATAAAAATTATCGAGTAATTGGTGCAATTCTGTGAATGACTTCGGAGGGAGCCGGCTTCGGAGGGGTCCCCAGGCGTGACTTGTATTTTCAAGGAACTAAGGTGTTAAATGTGGAGTTTGGCTGGGGCAGAGTTACGGCATTGCTGTAACAACTGTTTTGCTATCAATTATAAACAGAGTCAGATCTATGGGCAGTTTAAACCTCTTTTCAAATACCGGAGCTGCTTTTCCCGGTGCAACATGGACAAACCCGCGTGTCCATTGGAGGAAGGCTGGAGGTTTCCTTTTTTTTTTTTTTTTTTTTTTTTTTTTTTTTTAAATTTCTTTTTTTTTTTTTTTTTTTTTTTTTTTTTTTGAGAAACGCTGCTTCTTTGAGGAGAAAACCGTGATTCCCAGCCCGGGAGATTATTTTTCATGCTTTGTTTATCCTCTGGGAATGACATTTGGGCTAGGGAAACAGTCTTTCTCGGGAGCTTTTAATCGTGGGGGTTATTAATTTATTTAATTTATTAGTTTCAATTGGTTGGGCTCCGGGAGCCTTCCGTCACAAGGCTGTGGTTAAGGTGACACATTCGCTAGCGCTGGAACACATGATTGCAATTGCCAAAATGTGCCTTCTTGTTAAAAGGACTGGACCAGGCTGGTTGGAAGCTCTCGGTGGAGCTGTCTAGGCAGGGTGCGACCAGCTCATTGAGGAAAAAGGAAATCGCTTTCGTGAGCTGAGGAAGACATCCAGTATTTCCCTTTTGTTCCCTGTTTTTTTTTTTTTTCATTGATCGCCAGCTCTGCTTTAGCAAGGGGGAGCAGCTCGGAGGGTGCAGAGCTCTGAAGACTGCACAGATGTCTGGAGCCCGCTCTAACTCTCACACTGATTGGTCAGTGAGATGGAGACTTAGGAAAACAGTCACCCCCAAACCTCCTTTTAAAACCTTGCAGTAATTTCGGATCAGCCTTTTTGTGCCTGGGTTTGGTTTTTGATCCGGGTGCCTGTGGCTCTGGGTGTCTTTATGTTTAATTTTTTGTTGTTGTTTCTATCCAGATAAAGTAGGCCATTTTGGTGACAAATTTTTTTGCAGCTGTCAGCTACTAGCTTGCATTGATAGATGCATGACTACACAATACCAACTCAATGATTTCTGTTCATAAGTTGTAGAACGCAAAGTTGTTCAACTTGGAATTCATTTTTTCCCTAATGGTTTTTTTTTTTAATCTGAGCATTTAAATAGCAACATCAGCAGATGGATACTTAATTGTATCATTATTTTGATAATTTAAGTGCCTTGCATGTTTTACCCACTAAATCTAAGCCTTGGAACAGTGAAAGAAAAAATAAAAGAATGAAAATCAAACAATCATAATCAGCTTGCACACTATTTTGCAAGAAATTGTGCTTTGAGCAGAATGTATTCACAGAAAAAGGGCATTTTTTACCACAGAAGACTGAATTAGTGAACATTTTGAAATGAGGAGTTCTTAAGGTAGGGTATAAACGGTGGACATCTTCATTCAAGCCTTAAAGTACCTCATTAAAGAAGCTAGGTCCCAGAAGTTCTTAACCATATAAGCACTTTTCTGATTGGTTTAAAATTTAGACATAGGAAGTGGATGATATCTAGTAACCCAGGAGTGGAGACACGGTTGTCATGGAAACTGAGAAGTGTAACCCCCACCACCACCACACATGCATACACTACCATGACCACCCCTTAAAAAAAAAAAAAACAACAAAAAAAAAACAAAAAAAAAAAAAACAAAAAAAAAAAACCTGCGTGTCATCACAGGTGCTTGGAGAACATGCTGGCTTCTGTGAGCTTTCCCACAGCATCTGTTGAAACCTGAGACGGTGCCTGTCAAATCAAGGTCATTTTACAACAACAACCAAAAATGGAGTCTCCTGCATTTCATAACTGTATTTTTCTTGAAAATAGTTCAGGAGAAAGCCTGAAAGCTAGAGTGAGCTTGTGCTTGCTTAGCATTTTGTGACCTCTGAGTTGTACCTAGAGAAATCTGAAAAGAATGCACTTGGCCCTTAATTACAGAATTTTATGTCTACTACCACGTTTGTATGTCTTCTGTTTGAACAAAAGTCTTCTTAGTGCTGTAGAGACCAGAATATCATCAGAGAAGGTTTAATGAAGCTTCTTTTTTGCTTGCAAGAGGGTTCAAAGTGGAACATGACTGTCTGTGGTATTTGGGACAGGTACTAAGGCTGTCTGAGCAGGGGAAACACTCAAGCTGCCAGGTGCTTGGGGGAAGCAAAAGACAGGGAAGGGGACCGCCCCTAAATGGAAATAAAGACTGTGTCAAAAGTGCAAATCCAGCTAATTTAGGAAGGTTTCCTGTCTTAGGGTAAAGAAGACTGCTTTCATTTTTAGGATATTTTAGAGGATTCCCCAAACCACATGGCGAGTATTTCTGCTGTATCTTGGCAATGAGTTCACCTCCATTCTCCATTGCCTGCTCCATAGTTTGCTTAGAACCCTTAAAAGAGGGTAACTTCAGAGTTGTACAGTGAGTGTATCAAAGAGAGTTTAGACACCTCCCCCAATAGCCCTGTTCTGTTCATTTTGCTAAGTGGAAAATAACTGAGCAGGCCTCTTCTAATTCTAAAAATTTATTCATTTTTGTTTTATGCGAATGAGTGTTTTGCCTGCTTGTATGTAAGTGCACCCATGTCATTCAATGCCCGTGAAGGCCAGAAGAGGGTATTGGATCTCCTGGAACTGGAGTTACAGATGGTTGTTACCATGTGGGTACTGGGAACAGAACCTGGGTTCCCTACCAAGAGCAGCCAGTGCTCTTAACCACTGAGCCATCTTTCCAGTCCTCTCTTCTAAATTTTGACTCAGAAGCTTTTCACTAAAACTTGTATCAATATAAAACCAACGCTTTTGTTAGACTATCTGATCTTGTCAGTGGCAGGCTTGAAATTTTAAGTTCTTGCTATTCGTTTAGAAATACCTCCCCTCCATACATGGTACATTTAGCACTGCATTGCTTAATCTTAAAGCACTTTTTAAACTTATTCAAATTACAACTTGATCTTTCTAAAGAGCATCAAATTTTCCTCAACTAATTGCCTAGAGGAAAGAGGAGATGGAAGAATTGCTAAGTATGTTTTAATGTTTATTTAATACCTTGCTTCTATATTAAAAGAAATACAGAGCTTAGAGCCATATAGCATCATTTGAGTGATTTCAGGCACATTTCACCATCCTGAGCATTATCAAATATTGGATACATTAGGACTTGGTGGGGCAGGTTAAGTTTAGTGGCTTAACTGGTCTCTTTCAGCAAAGGATTTCCTGTAGAGAGCTTTCTTATCTGCAAGTATGTTCATTGGCAGGAAATGTGTCAGTTGCTTGTTTTTACAAACTGAAGGAAATGAATGGGATTTGTTGGTTTCTAGAATTCACCTCCATTCTCCATGGCCTGCCCCATAGTTTGCTTAGAACACTTCAAAGAGGGTGACTTTGGAGCTGTACAGTGAATTCACTTCAAATCATTGGTGCTCCTGTTAATTTCTTTTTAATTTTAGAATTAGAAAAATCAATCCTTACACTACCATGTACGACTTGTTTCACCAGTACAAATTAACAAGATGCTCAATAAAATCCCAATTCATTTTCAGTTGTCAGAAAGGTGCTCATATCATCGCTGGAGCTGGCATGTTTTGGATGGCTATGCCAAATTTTTAATAATAGTTCCAGAATACCAACCAAATGCCAGTCTTAATTTTGGATTAGTACAGAGAGGTAAAGGAGAGAGGCAGTTGAATTCCCCTCTTTGCTTATGAGAAAAAAAAAAGCGTTCACAAAGAACACATGTCAGGTCTCTACGCCAACCTTGCTGGAAGGTAAAAGGCAAAGTTGGGGTAAAAGACACTTGAGAAAGCTATTGAGGAAAACAAAACTTGACTGTGAAACATTTACTGTTAGAAAACATTAATTTTTTGAAGTTGGAGATAAGTATATTTAATTGCTTCAATTCTTGTTATGTTCCAAATTCTGGAGGGTGGGGGAAGGGCAAACTTCTTTGTAGCACACAGACCTCCATGAGAGAAGCATTTGCTGCAATTGGCCCCCCACATTTTTGTAGACATCATTTGTTTTATATTTAGAACCAAGTGGAATCTTATGCAAGGCCCTAATATATGAGTTGAATCAAAACAGAGCTACTCTGGGGGGAACCAGAGCCCAGAGCTAGTGATCTCCCCCTAGGCTACACCTGGGGCTAGCCCTGGAACCCAGAGTTCCAGCCAACACTGTTGCAAAACCGCTGCTGTTAGAGTGCCCCAGTACTCTCCAAAGGAGGCCCCAGGGAACTGCCTGAAGGGCCCTGTGAATGCTCAGCCCAAGAGAACTTCTGCCTTGACAATTTCAGAGGAGTCCTTTGCTCAGAGCAAGGAGGAAAAATAGGTAGCAATTAAGTATGTCGTGCAAGGAACCTAAGAAACTAACAGGGTCCTGGGAAAAGGTCAACTAGTCACTGTCTGAAAAAGTCCTGGCCCAGACTATAGAGAGGGGGAAAAGACTGCTTTCAGAGGTGACATAAATGAAGGCCCCTTTTCTTTATAAGTTACAGGAACATCCTGTGGATATGTGTGAGGTGTTCACTGTCAACTTCCTGGAAGGCTCTGGTTCAGTCTGTTAACCACCCCAGGGTGGGCCCTGTAACTGTTATTCTATT